CAACCGATCCCGATAAACTGAAACATCCGATATACCGATAAACCGATAAACTGATAAAAGCCAAGCTGTGCTGAGATTCGGGCACGCATGCGATGAGTCGGTTTAGTGGTTGATCGGTTTATCGGCAGATCGACCGATAAACCGATATAATCATATCGGTTTATCGGTCGATCTGCCGATAAACCGATCAACCAAAATAGTTTATCGGTTGATCGGTTTGTCGGTTTTATGTTCGTGTCCTGCGGCTGCAATCAAAAACATGCAAAAATAGCAACACTGACGTCGCCGCGCCCTCCGACCCCACCTATACTCGGACCCCGTCTGGGAGGCCTGGAATTGGGGGCCTTCCTCCAGGACCATACCTTCATCTTGAATTGTTGTCTGACAATCCGGGGGCCCGAAGGCCCGCAGAAGCTACAAACGGCGGAAGACCTCAGGAACCGTCTCCCCCAGGGCACGCTTCCACCTCGCTGAGAGGGGCAGTCATCGTGCCTCCAACGTGGAGTCTGGGCCATGCAGAGGAGGAAAAGAAGGAGGACGAGGAGGAGGAAGAGGAGGAGGAGGAGGAGGAGGAGGAAAGGGAGAGGGGGCGGAGGAGGAGAAGGAGGAGGAGGAGGAGGAGGAGGAGGAGGAGAAGGGCGATCAGCGAGGAGGAGGAGGAGGAGGAGGAAGGCGATCAGCGATCAGCGAGGAGGAGATCGGGGAGGGCGAAGGGGCCCTCGAAACCCCGCGGGCCCGCTCCCCCCATCGCGACTGTGCCCCCACGCCACCCCACGCGCCGCGGCACCGGCACGCACCCGGGGCCCCTCCGCACGCACTCGCTGCCCGCGCGGGAGGCAGGCGCAGCCGGCCGCGCAGCTACGGCGGGCCCCACGCCGAGCAGCCACAACTGGGCTTAGTGGGCCCTGGAGACGACAGGGCCGTTTTTTAAGCGGTTCCGTTTTGCCGTTTTTGTTGCCGGTTCCGACGCCGTTGTTTTACCGCTCCCGTCGCCGTTTTTTGACCGGTTCCGGCTCTGGTTCCAATCCTGGAGACGTTTCTTTGCCGTTTCCAGGGCCCACAAAGCAACTGGGGGAGCTGTGGTCCTTACCCCCCTGGGGGAACCCATCGCATCGACGATCCCTCGAGGAGGGGTGTCGAAATCGATGGGCCCCCCAGGGGGTAAAGAACCACAGCTCCCCCAGTTGTGGCTGGCCTGCCACGGGCCCCGGAGCGGCCCGGCTGGAACGAGCTACAATTGGAAGCGGACGATTCACAGTATGACTTTGAGGGGGCTCTATCTGCCAAAGGAAGCGAGCCTTTTAGCAGAGTGCTGTTGCCCTGCTGCGCGACAGCCGCGGCGGCGCGCACGAACTGCCGAGCCACGCCCCACGCTCGCACTTGTAACAAGTAGAGGCCCATGCAGGGGAAACACCCAGCTTGCCTCCAGGGTGCTCTGGGTTTCTCGGGTTTCAATGGTTCTGCTATGGAAAAGGCGTGGAAAAGGCGTGACGTTCCCACGCCAAAAATCGATGGACGTCCTTGAGCATCAGGGTGGGATTTCTTGTGGAAAAATTATTGTGGACTGGCCTCCACTGTACAATGGGGGAACGGGGTGCAGGCGGTACTCTTAGACGACCGTGCCGCCTCCTCCTCCTCCTCCTCCTCCTCCTCCTCCTCCTCCTCCTCCCTCCTCCTCCTCGATCGTCGACATGCACTTTCGGCGCTCCGCGCGGATTTCTTGGATCTGCGCTGGAGCCCCCTCCCGCTTGCGCGGAGTACGCTAGGGGCGGCGAGGGCGGCGCCACCAGGGGGGGGGGGGCCCAGCGCGGATCCGAGAGATCCGCGCGAAGCGGCAAAAGCTTCGGCTCATGGCGTTTTGATACGACTCACCATCGCTCGGACGTCCATTCCCTGTGCTTGTTTGACGGTTTCGTGCGTGGCTTTTTCGCCAAATGATGAAGGAGGATGCTCCTCGATGGCCCTCGACGAAGGAAAAATGCACACGTCAAAGCGGTGCCAAGACGATAATAGGGGAACAAAAGTGACATGAGCATAAAATCTTGGAGGTCAGCGGGGATTTCTCGGATCGGCGCTAGACCCCCTCCCTGGCGCGCGGAGCGCACCAGGGGCGGCGCCGGAGGCGCCGCCGGGGGGCCCCAGCGCCGATCCGAGAAGTCCGCGCGGACCTCCGAGCTTTTATGCTTATGCCACTTGTTGTTCCCCTGTGAGTCGGCGTGTCCCTTTACAGGAGGACGATTCGAAAGTAGTCTGGACGACAACTCCCTTTCGGAGGAGCGTTCACAGACAACTCCCTCGAGCCCCGAAGGGCGAGGCCATGTCTGGGAGGAGGAGGAGGAGGAGGAGGAGGAGGAGGAGGAGGAGGAGGAGGAGGAGGAGGAGGGAGGAGGAGGAGGAGGAGGAGGAGGAGGAGGAGGGGGAGGAGGGGGAGGAGGAGGAGGAGGAGGAGGAGGAGGCTCTCTCGAGCCCCGAAGGGCGAGGCCATGCCTGGGATGCCTCCTGCAGCCTCGCGCGAGCAGCTTCCGCGGGAGAGGCCCCGCCCGCTGCGCCGCTCCGTCCACGGGCGGGCTCTCTCCTCGGGCGCCGGCAGACCGGAGGCAAGAGAGCCCTGCGCATCCTGAGGGGCCCCGGGACACACCAATCCATACACACAAATGGCTCAAGAGGGCTCCAAGACGGCCCCAGAGGCATCCAAGACGGCCCAAGAGGGGCCCAAGAGGGCCCCAAGCGATGCCCCAAAGGGGGAACACAAAACAAAACTTCGAGCCCTCGGCCTTAAAGAAGCCCCCAGGAGGCCTCAAGAGGCCCCTGAGAGGCTCCAAAAGCCCCCAAGATGCCCTCAGGAGGCCCCCAAGCGACGCTGAAAAGGCCCCCCAGCGGCCCCAAGAGACTCAGTCATGCGAAATGGGCCGGCGGAATTAGCGAAGCGATTGAATAAAGGGATTCCCCCTCTATTTTCCCATATGTTTTGGAGTATTGTCTCCCCCCCCTTCCCAGATGTTTCCATATCTTCCTGGGGATCGACGATGAATTGTGTCTGTGTGTTTTTCCCCTCCTGACTCTCCTCGGGCGGTGGCAGAACAGAGGAAAAAGAGCTCTGCACATACACCGATTCTGGCAAGGCCCATCCTGAGCCCAGGATCGGTGCACACGCCCTCCCACCTTGGCCAGGAAGGCATATGCACCGATCCTGGGTCAAGCATGGGCCTTGCCAGGATCGGTGCGCGTGCCTAGTTCTCTTCGCCCGACAGAACTGGGTTCAATGGGCCTGGCTTCGTGCTGCGTGCTGGGGGACGCCCCCCCCCCCGCGCCGGTCCACGAACCGGACCTGCCGTCACCCGAAACAACACCAACTACGGCAGATCTGGTTCGGTGATTCTGCCAATTTGAGGGCTCCAGGGCCCTACCACTGACCGGGTCCCTCGGCGGTGGACAAACCTCCCTTTAGTAAACCTCCCCTTAGTGAAAACGGCCTGGGACCGAAACCGACGTACCTGGATCCGCAAAAATGACGGCCGCGACGCCCTCTCGCGAATCGAAAACGGCCAATTCACTAATCGACGTGTCAGGGTAGGAGGTCTATGAACCTCCGAATGAATAGACTTACGACAGGCGTGCCCCCTACAGGGGGACCTTCGACGTCCCCCTACAGGGGGACCTTCGACGAAAAATTAACAATATGCAAGACACCCCCCCAAATGGTCAGAACATGCTAACAAGACATTCCACCCCATTCCATTCCACAAACCGGAACTGCCGTCACCCGAAACACGCCAGCTGCGGCAGACCTGGTTTAGCGATTCCCATCCATATTTTGGGCTTCGGGGCCCAATGACTAACCGGCTGCCCTTAACCGGGGTCCTGGCTATACCCGACCCCTTACCTGGGGTCCTGGCTATACCCGATCTCCCCCCGAACGGCCTCGCGGACGGCTCGGTTGCCGGCACGCCCTCGGCCCAAAGGGGCGCCGGCCACGCGGGCGAGGTCTGCGCTCCGAGAGCGCGGGCGGCGCCTCGAGCGGCCAAGGCTGACGGCGGGCCCTGCAGTGAGGCCTTGCAGTTTTTCGCAGGAGGAGGAGGAGGAGGAGGAGGAGGAGGAGGAGGAGGAGGAGGAGGGGGAGGAGGAAGGGGAGGAGGAGGAGGGAGGAGGAGGAGGAGGGAGGAGGAGGAGGAGGAGGAGGGAGGGGGGGGGGAGAGGAGAGCGTTCCCATGCACGCTCCACAAAGGGAAGGGCGGGGTGGGGGGGAAGGGAAAGAACAGGCGACGCACCCGCTGCCATAGAGGCCCCCTATAGATGGGGTCCGAGAGCATCGGCGACGTCGGTGTGGAGAAAATCGGGCTCCGTATCGAGCCGCACCGTCGATGCAGGCGGTGCACAGCCGATGCATCGCCGATGCATCGCCGATCCATTGGCGATGCGGCGCGATCCTCCGACCCCATCTGCTCCAACCCCATGAAGGTGGCCTAGATGCCACCGCGGTTGTCGTTGCCGCCCCGCTCCTCCTCCTCCTCCTCCTCCTCCTCCTCCTCCTCCTCCTTCGACCTGCAGACAGTGTTGAGCGATCGCCCCGTTGCCCTCGATATGCCTCCTCCCAGCTGGTACCAGGGGAGGGCTGAACCATCCCCTCCTCCTCCTCCTCCTCTCTCCTCCACCTCCTCCTCCTCCTCCTCCTCCTCTCCTCCTCCTCCTCCTCTCCCTCCCTCCCTCCCTCCCTCCCTCCTCCTCCTCCTCTCCTCCTAATCCTCCTCCTCCTCCTCTTCCTCCTCCTCCTCCTCCTCTCCTCCTCCTCCTTCTACTCCTTCCTCTCCTCCTCCTCCTCCTCCTACTCCTCGTCCTCTTCCTCCTCCTCCTCCTCATCATCATCATCATCATCCCTCCTCCCTTCTCCTCCTCCTCCTCCTTCCTGCTCCTCCCGCTTCCTCCTCCTCCTCCTCCTCCTCCTACTTTCAACGACCGACGGGTACGTTCTCCCCTGACGTGGAAGGCGGCGCAAGAGCCGCCTGATCTGCATCCACTGCTCCTTCCCGTACTCCTGAAACGCCTCGCGGTGCGGGCGGCTCTCTGTGTACCGGTAACGCGGGGGGCCGATACAGGGGCCGCGCGAGCTGGGCGAGACGGCCGACACATGCTGTGGGGATGCCCGCCCTCCACATCCTCCTCCTCCTGATCCATGGTTGTGATCTCCTCCCCTCCCCCCTTTCTCCCCTCCCTCCTCCTCCCCTCCCTCCCATCCCTCCTCCGTCTCCAACTCCATCTGTTCCCCATCATCCTCCCTCATGCCATCCTTCTCATCCTCCTCCTGCTTTACGTTGATTCCATCGTACTTACGGACCGCATCCCAGAAATAATTTCGAGCACCCAGAGAAGTATTGAAACAATGTCGAACGAATATCGCCTCCCAATGCCCGACACGTGAAAACCGTCAAGTTTCTTGTTGCTCGAAACCCGTCTCGCGATCAAGGCAGAAGTAGGTTGGAACATCATACGTCCTGCTTCCAGTTGCTCTCCCCATCCGCCCTCCTTCCTCGCTCATCCTCCTTCTTCCTTCCCTCCAGAGCCTCGCTCCTTCTCCAACTTCACTCCCCTCCCTCCACAGGTGCAAGGAGCTTGCTGGGCCCAAGGGCGACGGGAAGAGCGAGAAAGCTTACCGCAGTCCGCTGGGACGGGGACGACGAGGCCGACGAGGCCGACGACAAGGCGGAAGACAACACAGTACAGCGCTCTCCCGCGCCACCCAACATAGCGATTTCGTGGCCCCGCAGGAAACTCCAGCGAAGGTCCCAGTGGCTGTGATCACATGCGTCCGGGGACACCCAGTACAGCGTTGCGTGGTCCCATGGGGAGCTCCACCGAAGGCTCCAATGGCTGTGATCACATGCGCCCGGGCCATCCAATACACCGCTCCGTGGCCCCATAGGAAGATCCACCGAAGGCACCGATGGCTGTGATCACATGCGTCCCGGCCACCCAGTACAGCATACCGTGGCACTACAGGGAGCTCCACCGAAGGTCCCAATAGCTGTGATCACATGCGTCACAGCCACCCAGCATAGTGTTCCGTGGCCCCATAGGGAGCTCCACCGAAGGCTCCAATGGCTGCGATCAAATGCATTCTGGCCACCCACTATAATGTTTCGTGGCCCAATAGGGCGCTCCACCGAAAGCCTCAGTGGCTGTGATCACATGCGCCCCGGCCACCTAGAGCAGGGACTTGTGGCTCTATAGGGAGCTCCACTGAAGGCCCGAGTGGCTGTGATCACATGCGCCCCGGCCACCCAGTACAGCGCATCGTGGCCCCATAAGGAGTTCAACCAAAGGCCCCCGCTGCTGTGATCACATGCGTCTCCCCCCGCCCATTTCTGCACAACGCTTTTCATGGCCCATACGGAGCTCCAGTGGCGACGTTCGCATGCGTCCCCCCCCGCCCATGTCGGTACACCCCTGACACGTTTCGTGGCCATATGGGGAGCGCCACCGAAGGCACAATGGCGACGTTCGCATGGCGGCCACGCCCCCCCATTCTGGCACACACCTCAGAGAGCGCCACGGAAGGCCCGAATAGCTGCGCCCGTATGCATCCCCGCCCCATTTCGACGCACCCTTCACGCGCTTCGTGGCCCCATAAAGGGATCCGCCGAAGGCGATACCCACAACGGCGATAACCTCATCAAGCTAGTAAGGCCCCCCCCCCGGGTCATCACTAGCACCGCACCGTAATAAAATAATTATGGGGGGCGGTTTCCGCCGAACGATATGGTTAGCACCACGCAAACGAACGAACATACAAAATCCCCGCGCCCTAGCTCGGGTGATATCCCAATTGGAATTGGAATCAGAATAAGAAAAATAATGAATTACGAGTAATAAAAATAATACGACGAATACTAATAATAAGAAGTGACAAGACAAGTAATTATAATACTGATGATATTAATAATGCTAATACGAGTGAAAAGAGTAGTAATAAGAGTAATAATGTGAAGAATAATAATAATCACAATCCGAATACTAATGCGGATACTAATAATAACCATAATAAAAATAAGAACACGAATGCTCAAATTCAGAATCACAATAAGAACACGAGTGGTTTCTCATTGTCTTCACCATCCTTGTCCTCTACGATTTGTATTACCACCCCTGTTGAAACATTGTTTTTTCCCTGCCGTCGTGTGGGGTCGTGCATCCGAGGATATCGCCCCTGCCACGAACGGCGCGTTATCTTAGTACCGCACCCGCACAAAATAATTACGACAACTTGTCAAAGAAGACAAGATGTTGTTGTTGGTGCTGTTATTGGCCTTGTTGTTCTAGATATGTCTTAATGCTGGCATTACTGCCGTTGTTTGTGCTGGTGCCGTGCCGTAAGGGAGTCTTCAGGAGGAGGAGGAGGATTTGTTCTGTTTAGCTGGGCCAAGGCCTCTTGACTGAGGCCTTGGCCCTCGACTTGATCCGTAATGGCGAATAAGAGCCAAAAGATTGCGAGAATGTCTCAGGCGGTGTGCTTGTTTCGGCGAGCTAACTCGTCTGCGTTCACAGAAAGGTGCGAGGTGCCAGGGTAACGTTTGTGGGGTGCCGGGTGCGTTATACTTTCGCCGGAGAGGGGGGGGTGGTCAAAATTGTTTCTAGAGGGGGGGGGGGTCAAAATTGCTTCTCCGGCTTACTCACAACTGTATATGGTTGGGCCCTTCGCCAGGATATTCGTTTAGCTCAAAGAATGTTCGAGATTTATATTGCTCCCATCGTACTTAAGGACGACATCCCAGAAACAACTTCGAGCACCCAGAGAAGTATCGAAACAATGTCGAACGAGTATCGCCTCCCAAGGCCCGACGCGTGAAACCCTCCAGTGTCGGTGCTTTCATGGTGCCCAACATTCGTTCTGGTGATCAAGGCCAAAGTAGGTTGGGACATCATAGTTCGAGAGGCGAGATGTGCCAGCCGTTTTTTTTGACAATGCACACGTGCGGTTGAGCAGGGACCGACCGTCCCGGCAATTCTGTAGTCCTACCACGAAATGTTCTTAGAACCCAGGGATGTTCTAAGAACGCAAAACATGTTCTTAGAACATCACCCCGATGTGCTAAAACAAAACAGTATCGGCCAGAAATGTTGTAAGAACATCACGTTCCTGTCGATTCGTTCGCGAGCCAGGACGCTTCGCCACTGCTTGAGTGCGGGGTGTGTGGCTCTCCGGCTTCGGGGCCCTGCAGCGGCCGAGCACACCCCCGGAGGCCCGATGGCGGGCTGGAGCCAGGCCCTCCCTGGCCCGTGCCTGCTGCGAAAGACCCTCACACATTAGGGGGCTGCTGTGAGGTTTTCGTCGGAAAGAGGAAGGAGGACTAAGCCCCATTTGGGAGCTGTTACGCCCGAGTGGGCCTCGGACCAAGCAGGACTATGCCGGATTAAGTGACATCAAGCGGGATTCAGCCGGACTCAGCGGGATTAGGCTGGATTGAGCCGGATTTCGGACCAGGCCGAAAACAGAATTTGTCCTTCCAGGAGTTGCATCCGAAAACATGGATTAGCGATACATGGATCGAGAGAGGTGCCCTCCCCACGATGCGGCCGGTGCCGCCTCGTTCCGCGGCGGAAATCCGCGATTTACAGCGGAAACGAGACCCGTCGCTAATCCACGCCCCCTTAATGCATGTTTGCGATCGCCTGAGTAGATCAAACAGCTTTCTGCCACGGCTGAGGCTTGCATGCGGCGGAGAGCGCTGCTTAGATAGGGGGCAGCGGGTGCTGAGGCCGCATGGCTCCAAAGGGGGTTTTGGTGGAGGAGGTTTTCCAGGAGGGGCCCCCCAGGGGCTTCGCACCCTCTGTTTTGACAAGGTTCCGAGGCCTCTGGGGGACTCTCTGGAACCCCCCCCCCCCCCCCCCAAAACCCTCTTTGGAACCCTCCGGTGGGGGGAACGGGTCCTGGACCCTGGCGCCTTCCCCCAGGACGATGTCTCCGTCGTGAGTCGATCTCTGACAGTCCCAGGGCCCGCGGAGGGCCCCGAAAGCCCGAGCACTGCAACACGCCCCATGGCCCGTTTTCCTCGGGACCCGCTTCCCCCTTGGAGAGCTGTGGGGGCCACTGGATGCAAGGGTTGCCTGTCGCTCGACATTCTCGCCACGCGACCTTCCGCACCTGTGCCTCCGGCGGCGAAGTGGCAAACCGAGGTCGCGAGTCAAGCATGCACGGGGCGCGCCCAAACAAACTGCACCCAGCGTTGCGGGTGCACGGCCGAATGAAGGCCGGGAGCGAAAGGGTGATACCACGAAACGTACTCACCTCCACACACAAACTTGTTTTTTTGTTTTTTGCGTCATGGCCTCGCGCAGCGACAGCGCGGACACATGTCAGAGAAGCGGGCACGCACGCGCGTCTAGACGGCCGAGCCCTCAAGCCCTTTGCGACCAAGCAGCGCAGGCGGCCGGCCAGTGTCATCCGGGCGAAGATGACGGAGGAAACAGACGTGGGGGGCATACGAGCGGGAACCCACCAGGCCAGGTGACTGGCGAGAACGAGGCGACGAGTGGGATGGACGAAGAGGGAAAGGACACTGGACGAGAATCCGCGAAGCTACAGCAATGCCAGGGCCAGCGAACTGGTAGAAGGACATGGTAAACGTCCAACTGGACCGAAAGCTGGCAGCGATGGCGGGGACACACACACACATGTGTTGGCGTGCCGGCTTCGCGCGCGGCATCGAAACGACAAGGGTCGCAAACAGCGCGCGCGACCAACCGGCCGAGCCCTCGGAAACCACTCCGGGCCACGCAGCAGCCGGCCGCACACACACGCACACACGCACGCACGCACACGCACACGCACACGCACACGCACACGCACACGCACACACACACACACACTTGGATGAGTTGTCGTTAGCAAGATGACCAAGCCCTGCAGACCAGCTCCCAAGACGTCACCCCCGTTGAGTGCCTGGAGAGGCGAAGCCTCTATCGCCGACAGGCGTAAACAATCAGTCCAAGAGGCAACAATTCTTGTGACAAGCCCAGGCGTAGGAAATCGTGTCACACGCGCAGCCA